GGCAGCTCAGCGCTCCCTGGCTGACACCCTCGGCCGTGGGGAAGCGCCGCCCTCGGGGGTCCCAGCAAGCACGGCCGCACACCCGGCAGCCGGAGCGGTGCCCATCCGTGTCCCGGCGCACACGCGGAACGGGGCGGCCGCTTTTACCCCCTCTCGGCCCGGCTTCAGCCATCCCCGGCCGGCCCGCGGTGGCTGCGCAGCGGCCGCTCGGTGGTCGCCGCCAGCCGTGCCCCGCACGCCCATCCCGGGGACAGGGGACCCGCTCTGCGGGGCCGCTCCTCTCTGCGCGCCGGACGGGGAGCCGGGCAGGGCGAGACCGTGGGATGGGGACAGCGGGACAGGGGCTGCGTGTGTGTGCGCGGAGGTGCCGGGCAGCGAGCGGGTGTGCGARCACAGGCAGTGCCGAGCGGGTGCGGGGTGTGCGCGGAGCGTGAGAGCCGAGCGAGGGGCGTGAGCAGGGACCGAGCGTGTCCGTGTGGGCGCGGGGGTGCGCGGTGTGCGAGTCTGGCTGCGTGTGTCTGTCTGTCCATGTGTGTCTCTGTCTGTGTCTGTGAGCGCGTGTGCGCGCACCGGGGGCAGCTCCCCACGTGGGGCTGACGCGGCAGCCCCGGCCCGATCCGGGGCTATAAAGCTGCTCGGCGGCGAGCGAGGCAGAGCAGCCGCGGCCGGCTGCAGCCCCAGCCCTAGCCCCGGCCCCGCTCCGCTCCGCTCCGCTCGCCTCGCCGCGCTCGGGGGTCCCGGCGGCAGCCCCAGCATGCGCCGTGCCCGCCCGCAGCCCCCCGGCCCCCGGCGCTCCGCTCCGCCCCGGCCGGCGCTGTAGGACCGGAGCAGCCCGCGGAGCCGGGCGCGGCGCGGGTGGAGCCGGGCGAAGGGCGGGGGTGTCCGCGCAGCCGGGGTTGATGTTTAACCTGGAGCGCCCGTTCACGGAGAGGGGCCACTTCTTCTCCTCCATGGAGTACCAGCGGCAGCTGGAGGAGGAGGAGGGCTACCCCCCTCCCGGCACCAATGGGACCTTCAACGACAGCGGGGTCGGGCCGGGCTGGGGCACGCCGTACCCTCTGCACACCACCGTCACTCTCATCAGCCTGGCCGGCTTGCTCATGCTCTTCACTGTCTTCGGCAACGTCCTGGTCATCATCGCTGTCTTCACCAGCCGGGCGCTCAAAGCCCCYCAGAACCTCTTCCTGGTGTCCTTAGCCTCAGCTGACATCCTGGTGGCCACGCTGGTCATCCCCTTCTCGCTGGCAAATGAGGTGATGGGGTACTGGTACTTCGGTAAAGTCTGGTGTGAGATCTACCTGGCCTTGGATGTGCTGTTCTGCACCTCCTCTATCGTGCACCTCTGTGCCATCAGCCTGGACCGCTACTGGTCCATCACACAAGCCATCGAGTACAACCTCAAGCGTACCCCGCGCCGCATCAAGTGCATCATCTTCATCGTCTGGGTCATCTCGGCTGTCATCTCCTTCCCCCCACTCATCTCCATCGAGAAGAAGAGTGGGCAGCAGGCTGACCAGGGGGTGGCAGGGTGCAAGATCAACGATGAGAGGTGGTACATCATCTCTTCTAGCATCGGCTCCTTCTTTGCCCCCTGCCTCATCATGATCCTGGTCTACATGCGCATCTACCAGATAGCCAAGAGGAGAACAAGGGTCCCGCCAAACAAGCGGGCAGAGCGCCCTGAGAAGAAGCAGAATGGYTTGACTGACAAGGAGGACCTGCCAGCCACAGCACAGCTCAACGGGGAGAAGGCAGCAGGAGGCGGTGGCGAGCAGGAGGGAGAGGTCAATGGCATAGACATGGAGGAGACCTCKTCCTCCGAGCACCAGGAGAACAACGAGTGCAAGAAGCCAGAGAAACCATCKAGAGGAAAGACCAAGACTAAGCTGAGCCAAATCAAGCCTGGGGACAGTTTGCCCAGGAAGACGGAGGAGGAGAGGAACACCAAAGGGTCCCGGTGGAGGGGCAGGCAGAACCGGGAGAAGCGCTTCACCTTTGTGCTTGCGGTGGTGATCGGGGTCTTTGTCATCTGCTGGTTCCCCTTCTTCTTCACCTACACGCTGATGGCCGTCTGCGAGAGCTGCTCTGTGCCCGACACCCTCTTCAAGTTCTTCTTCTGGTTCGGTTACTGCAATAGCTCCTTGAACCCCGTCATCTACACCATTTTCAACCATGACTTCAGACGGGCCTTCAAAAGGATCCTCTGCAGGCTAGAGAGGAAAAGGATTGTTTGAAGGACCCTTTGCTACTGACGGGACTGATCAAGACTTTGAAGGAGTCTAGTGTGTTTCTCTCTCGGGCTGTGCTTGCATGGGATGGTTTCCTTCAGCTCGTGAGCAGGAAGCCTTTAAAGCCTGAGATGAGCCTGTGGGAGCACCGGGCAGCAGCAGTGAGGAGCAGCAGGCAAGTGGAGATCCGAGCCGTGGCATTCGGCTTTCCAGGGGAGGATGGCCTTTGACTTCCTTGGTATATTTTGTCAGGTTGTTTTTTGTTTTTTGTTTTTTTTTCTTTTGCCAGAATCTCTCAGTGGATATTCTCATGACKGCTCAGTTTGACTCTTTAAAGACAAACAAAGTGCAGCTCTGTGAGATGAACAACAAAGAGGGAGTATGCCACACCAGAGGTGTTGGCTTTTTTTATTTTGTTGTCTCTTTTTCCCCCCCTGTTGTATATGTAATGAATTTTCACCCCCTTGTAAAATACAGTATTGTATTCTTGAATTTGAATGTCTTAATTTTTGTAAGGCAAGCAGCTTTGAAACTGTGAATGCTTTAATTATCTTTGRTACCTTAAAAGTCTTTCTTTTCCTATCCCGTGCAAAGCCCCTCACCCTAAACCACTGAACAGCTAGAGCCATCCCCCTACCTGACAGCTGACAGTTTGATAATATTACCAAAATCTCCAAATTCCTGGTTTGTTTTTTTGTTAATTTTTTAAAATTTTGTCTGCAAAGCTTAGGATCACAGACGTCACCAGACTGGCTGTTTTAGTTGCTATTTTTTAATGTCATACCTGTTTCTGTTTAATTTCCGTGTTGCCTGTGACACAATACAGCTGAGATGGCACCTGCCATCTCATAGCTCATGAAAGCAGACCCTGATGGAGCGGTGGCTTTGCTGTGCAGGCAGGGATGTCCCAGGCAACGGGGGCTGTCTCCCTTGCAGCGTGAGCCTTGGGACCCAGCCAAGCTCCCACGAGTTAATCTTGTTTGATTTTATACCACTCYGCAGCGCTGAAATGCGTTCGATGCTCGCTTGCTTCCTCCACCTCAACTGTAAATAGGTAACGTTTCAAAGCAAACAACAGGGCTCTGCATATCCCGTTGTCTCATCTGTGCTGATTTGTGATGGTTTAACTCCYGCAGGATTTCCTGCAGAGGGGAGGGGGTTTGTGCACAGTGGCCATTTGTCTTTCTCGATTATGGAGAAGAGTTAAGTTTTTAACCTGCCAGTCTCATCTTTCCTATGAAATAGGGAAGCATCCCTCTGTCAGTCTTATACAGGGCAAAACTCCGAAATGGGAAACTTAATTGAGAGTTTCTCCATTATTTTATAGTGTAATTAAGCTATTGCTTTKKTTTTTTTTTTTTTTTTTTTTTTTTTTTTTTTTTCTTCAAAAGTGTAAATATTGTGAGATCGGAGCAGGAGAGAGTTAATATGGCTTTTACACTCTTTCCTGAAATGGCTTTCAGCTCTTTCTGCTAAAACAAACCAACAAAAAAAACCAAAACAAAACAAAACAAAAAAAAACCACAACAGAAAACAAAAATGGACAGAACAAATCTAACATCCTTGTGCCATGAATAAATTTCTGGAGAACATTTATAGGAAAAAAATTTTGATTTATCACAATAAATGACTGTGACTCTGCAAGTCTTTTAATGTTATGAAAACAGCTTTATCAAATGCTGACAAGCCACAGAAATGGTTTGGAGAAAGCAAAGTTTCTATAAGTTTAATGTATAAGATGAATTTGCCTTCTCTGGAGTCATATGGTGCACAGGAAGAGACTGAGACTTTAAAAATATGTTTTTACTTTTGGGAAGTGTTTTGTTGATTTTGCTCTCTCTTTTGACTTTCTAATTAACTCCAAGTGTCCCCGGATCCAGTGGGACCTGGAGAGCAGTGTTTACATTCAYGTGCATTTTCAGAACTGAATCCTCAAGAGTTGAGGAAAGCAAATAAACTGTGCTTTAATGTAAAAACAAAACAAAACCAAACCACAAGCAGAAGTTGCTATAATGGATGATTATTTTTATTAAATAAAAGAGCGTTTACAGATCAAGTGTGAAAATCCTCTGAATAATGTTAGCTGTTTTATTTTATTGTATTTTTTTCTTCTGATCTGTTCACTGATCCTCTGGCAGCTTTGGTCTTGCTGTTTTTTGAAGAACACACTGGGAAAAGCACTCGTGTTTTCTGGAAGGCATTGTTAGCCCAGGTAGGAACAATGGCTCTGTTCATTGTGCTGTGACATAATAACAAATGAGCCCTTGATATTTCTTGGGTATTTCCTCCCCCCTCTGTGCCACAGTAAGGGCATTCACGTGTTTGTTAGTAAAGAGTGTAGGATTTGAGGTGTGATTTGTGTCCTGGGAGCAGCCTGGCACTGCTGCTGGGGACACCTGCCTGGCACAGCCTTTGCAGCTGTTGCCTTGTGGGAGTTTTTAATAATTCGTTTGCAGATGGGTTTAGAAGCAATTAGGCTGRAAGGCAGCRTGTWGTGATACATGGAGGRGTGTCCACCTGSCTTTTTTTCCAGCCCTCATGAGCTRGGGTTTGATTGCCCTTCCCCCAGTGCTGCCAAGACCTTCCCTGCAGGAGGTGATGGGGGATTGTTCTCCCACTGAACATGAAGCTGCTCCTGGTGAGAAAAGTGACCCGAGCCCCGAGTGGGAGCTGCTGGTCCAGTGACCCCCTCTGCCAATGCCCCGGGGCTGGAGATGCTCAGCAAGGTGGGAGGGGCTGGGGGGTCAGGCAGCATCACTGCTGGRCATGGGGCACTGGTGGGGGCCCAGAGATGAACATTTGCTCACCTCGAGGTGGCCTTTGCAGCCCAGGGGAGCTTGGTTTGGGTAGGGTGTCCTGCTTGCACTCTGGTCTTGGCTGACCCCGTTGGCCTTGGAGGGTTTTACAAAGATCCCCTGTGAGACTCTGGGTCAGTGCTTGGGGCATGAGGTGATCCAGCAGCTCTGACTGCATTTGCTGCACCCCTCAGGCTGCCAGTTGCCCTTGCTGCACATCTCTAGTGTGGACAGTGGTGTATTTTGGTGGGTTTGGGGATGGGAGACTGAGGCTCTTCCCCTTCCCCCTCCTGACTCCCTCTGTCATTTCTCCCAGCTCATTCCCTTTCAGATGATGCATTAAGGGATGCAATGAACTTTGACTGTTTTTATAACCTTTTATTTTGGGGCTGAAAGGTTAATGGTGTGAGGGCAGGGAGGGGGACCTGTCCCCAGCTGGGTGGGAGCCATCCGGGCTGGCACAGCAAGCAGCAGGCAGCAATGCACTGCCAGCTTTGTCCTGCGAGATGTTTCTCCACCACTTTCCTTTGTGGGGTCATCCTGCATGCCACCCCTTGTGGAGAGCACAAAGGTTCCAGACAAGAGATTTACAGGAGGGGCTCAGGTGAKTTGGTTTGGGGGAGCAAATGTCCTAAAATGCTTCTGGAGGGAGCTGCATGAGCAGCAGAATTGCTCTTGCAGAGAGCCATGGCTGCCTGCCCAGGGCTTGTCCCTGACCACTCAGACTGTACTCATTTGTTTCCATGGGGTTTTGGTCCCTGTTCTCAGGGGGACAAGGAGCTGGTCACATTGAGGAGTGTGAATCTTTCCAGTGAGGGAGGGACTTGGCCTGGGTCACTCTGCTCACACAAAATGAGTTTCCCAGGCTTGGAGGAGCCTCAGCGGGTTTCAGACAATGTCCATCAGCCTTCCTGTGCTGTAAGTACCCCCAGTCCCACCCTGCATCCCACAAATTCCCTCTGGCTTGGGTGGCTTGCCCTGCCGTCTGTGCAGTTCTCACAAATTGAAGCTCTTTGTTTTCCTTGACATTCCCGGTTCTTCAGAAAAGTTCAAAGTCTGCCGAGATTGTTCCTTTATTACAGCCATTGCTGTGGCAGAGTGCTCCACTTGGAGCTCTCACCATCCCTGCTACAAACTGCTCTTTGCAGCTGGTTTGTAGGAACATCTCTGTGATTTGAGAAATGTTTGTAGTAGCTGTGATTTCTGAGCTGTATCTCAAGCTGTGGAAATGGAGTGAAGAGTGAACAGGATTAGTGTCAGCCCAAGCCTTGCAGTAGCCACTGGCACTCACTCAGCTCACAAATGCTCCAGGACCAGATCCCAACCCCTCTGGGAACAGAAAGAGTCGTAGTCAGCCCTGGGAAGCCCAGCCCAGGTGAAATTCCATCTGGGGGTCACAGTGCAGTAATCCTACACAAGGCCACAGCACACTCCCAAATGTCCTCAAGGCTGAGCAGAAGCRGTGGTGAACAGGGCTGTGGAGGGCACAAAAACTCATGCATTTTTTGTGTCAGACCATGGCTGGTCCCAGGAGGGAGGTTTGATGTAAGCAGAGGAGGAGGAGGAGACCTGCTGTTGTGGAGCAGGGGATGCTGAGAGGTGTTGGAGATGCTAATGCTTGAGTTGGTCATTCAACATTCTTCCYTCTTGGGGACCTTCTTGGCCATTTGAGTTGTCCATTAGGAGAACTCATTTCCCATGGGGGACCATAAATGCTAGAGGACATCTCACATCCAGGAATATGGGAATGTGAGATGAATTTCAGCACCCAGACATGAGGATAAACCATAAAAGGGAGTTGGAAGACATTTCCCTCACTTGACCACAGGTGTCATCAGCAGAGGTGTGAACTTGTTGGTTTAAACTAGCTTCACACTGCTTCAGCTGGCTCTATCTGTCAGTGTGATAATCAGTTCCATGTTGGCTAAGTTCGGAGAGAGCATGTCCTTGCTGGCTTGGATCTGAGCCTTGCTTTCCTTCTGAGGCTCTGGGAGTGGCCTGTAGCAGATTTGAGGGAACAGTGAAGAGAGAGGACTCTTCCCAGGAGGTTCAGGCGTTGTTAGGTGCTCTGGGATTTCCTGGGGCCAGCAGTGCCTTTTGCACTGATGGAGAAATTCCACTGACATGTGTTTCCTGTCAGTGATGCTCTGCAGCAGGGGTCTGGATGGCTTTCAAAAGCGTGTTTGAGTCAAAAATCAGCARTTGGGTCGTGTGAGAGTTTGGGGTGAACGGGTTTGATCAGGAGGTGACACGAGCATCCTGAGCTTTCCTGTGTGCAATATCCTGCAGTGTTTGGCCCAAGTTGCACAGCCCAGGATATTGCATTTGCAGGAGCASCCTCGAGGTCCTCCAGAGCTCTGTGACCTGCTGCAGGGTTCACTCCCAGACATGAGAAACATTTGCTGTAAGTCAGCTGCTACATGGAGGAATAGATTGCTGCGCTGTTGATTGAAACAGTTGTGTTTTGCTGGACCATGACTTTATGGCCTTTTTTCCTGTTTGTTTTTCAATTGCTTTCCACAGAAAAAAAAGGAAAAGAACAAGCTTCTCACTGCTGGATATCTCTGATAAAGTAGTTTCTGCTGAAGGCTGCCTTGTCTTCAAATGTGCACGTGGAGATGCTGCAAAGTATTCATCTTAAATTTGAAACCTTAAGGTGTTACTGAAAGATTTCTTGAGTAGAAAAAAAAAAGAAATAACTGTATAGATAAATATTTAAGACACCGCACCGAAATTTATGCTTTTCTGAATTGACTGAACCTTTTTAAAGAGTGAAGTGCTGAATTCTGGTCTTTTAGCACCAGGATAACTTTTGCCACCAAGAWTATTTGGAGAAACTCTTCCTCTTGCAGATCAAACCCAGCAGGGTTGGGCCCTGAGTGTGGCAGACCTGGCAGCTTGGCTGCTGGGGCACCGATTTACACCCTCCTGGAGTCCTGCCTTTCCCAGCTTATTCTTGCAGCCACATTTCCTGGGTAATCTGGTGATAAATCCTCTCTCTCTTAAGGCTGAATTTGTTCTTGGTTTCATGATGCAGATCTTTGACCTGAAATGGCTYCTTGAGCAGGGTTTGTCAGGAGGTTCCTGGTAATTTCGGCACGGCTGTGCCTGTGGTGTGCAGCCCTTCCTTGGCACAAACTTGCTGTGCTGTTACCCCGACAGGGCTCCCTTCCATGGGGGATTCCAAAGGCAGCACTGAGCTCTTCTTTTCCCCAGGGAGTACCCAAAATTCAGAGAAGTGGCACAACCCTGGTCAGCCACATGGCCAATGTGAAAAGGSAGTGCAGTCCCGCTGTTTCTCTTGGTTATGGGTTTGAGCTGTAACCTAAGCACAACCCAAAGATTTAAACTTCAGAGGTGTTAGTTAAAAGTAATCCTGCATTTGTTATTTCCAAAACATTTCCAACATATCTTGTGGCTTTAAGCTTCAAAATTTAGAGGGGATGGAAGAGTTAAAATGGCCAGTTTAAATGAAATCGCCTGACTTGCTTACTTGGAAAGATTTACCATCTTAGGGCCTTTGGGTTGCTGTCTCAGGATAATGAAGATACATCCGATCCATTTTGAGCAGCAGTATAATTGCTTTCATCAACACCAGTCAGCGTTTGGGTGAGATGGCTTTCAAACAGTGCAGCAGGGAGGAAAAGCAAAGCTAAATGCTGCTGTGCTGAGTTGGGCACGCACCGAGCAGAGCCAGGTAAGCAGTGCTGGATGCAGGGCAATCTTTCATCACTGTTGGCTCTGTGGGGGCTAATTAGAGAATGTGTTCTGGCTGGTGTGACTGGTATGGACAGGATTTGGTGCAGACAGGGTTTTCTGTAGTCAAATAAAATAGTTGTGGCAACAGATGCAGTGGTGGCAACTGCCTTTAAAGCTCAGTGTTAAACCTAAAAGCTTTGCATTGGAAACAATCTGCTCCTATTGTAGGTGTTGCTCATTGTTCCCAGAAATGCCTGTTCCTGGCTGTGCTGCTGAGTGAGGTTTGAAGTGTGCAGGAGTGTGGTTGAGGACGAGGAAACRATTCACACCAGCCACATCCACCTGTGAGGGTCCTGGGTTTTATTTATCCAAAGTCCTATAGCTGTTTTTATCTCCTCAGCTTCATGGATTCCTGCTGCTGAGGATGTAGCAGTGACAGGGAGTGGGATGAGGGCACACACTTGTGGCTGTGCAAAGAAAGCCCATGGAAAATGAGACACAGAGGAGCAGGGTGTGGAAATGGTTGGTGTAAACCAGATGAGGCTACTGTACACCCAGCTGCGAA